CTGACTGAAACTCCCGCCCGGCACCGAGCGGGGCGACCCGCCCGGCCCCGCCGGGGCGGAGGGCGGGAGTTCGGTCCCCTCAGCGGCTGGCGGCACCTCGGTACCAGCGGCCGTTCGTCCCTGGTTTTAGCTTGTTTGGTCCGGCTTCTCTGGGAGTTACCGACCTCGGTAGGGAGGGGGGCAGGCAGGGGTGCAGCGCGTCGGCCGCCTCCCTGAGGTGAGGCAGCGGAAGGAAGCTTCAGCTTCTCTGAGGAAACAGAAGGAACGGCAAGGTGCGAAGGACGCTGAAGTTCAGGTTGTCTTCAGCAAGTGGCGCTTGTGCGGCCCTTCTCCGTAGCATCAGGGATGCTTGCAGTACTTTCCGTGCTTAAGAGAAACGGAGGATGACCCCCGCACTCGGAACAGGGATGGAGCGGGCTTGAAAGTGAGGAGGGCGTGGTGGCATGGCCCCCGTTTTGTGTGGGGTGGCCTCGGCTGCAGCTTGGGAGGCCCCTTTCTTCTGCTGCTTGGGGTGTGCTTGGGGCTCACCAAGCCCCTCGGTTCCTCTGCATCCTCATCGGACGTGTGCAGCAGGCGCCTGCTGAGCTGCTCACAGCGCGAGCAAAAGCAGAAATCTCACGTACGGTGTATTTAGGGTGAGCGGGGAAGATACCAAGGAGCAATGATGGTAGCTGAGCCAGGATTTCTTACTTCCAACTTTTGACTTGAATCCCTGCGTTGCCCCTAACTTTTCCATTGGATCTACGCCAGAGTAAAGCCCTGTAACAGAAACAAGCATGTACTAATTTTGAAGGCTACCATTAGTCCATGCGGCCGAACTCTAGCAATCTGCAGATGGCAGCTGAGCAGGCGCAGCTGCCTCATTCATGCAGCCCTCTTCCAAAGAGAAAAGCCATGAACATTCACCTCCCTTTTTGGGATTGCTGTGAAGGGGCAGTAACTAGATCTAAATGTATCTTTATTAACACAACCTGCGTCTACAGCTTAAATACAAAATAATCAGAAAAACAGCCAACAAAACCCAGAAAACCCAGCAACAGTTTCAGGAGCAAACAGATTACTATTACAAAAAGCAATTCGTTAGAAGATGCAATTCCAATGTGGAGAATGCAATCGCTATTTGGTAATTTTAGGAACAGAAAAGTTAATCTTGTAAAAACACTACAGCTTTGCTTTACAATCTTAAGTGTATTAGGAATACTTAAAAAACTGACTAGGAAGGAAATTGATTAATAAAATGAATATACTGTAACAAACTATGGCATTTAGTGCACAAATACTCACTAAGACGTTAAGATCTAGGAAAGAGATGATTTGAGGTGATGCTACTGTAGGTTTTGCTGTTTCTTCTTAAACTTTAGTAGGACTTTGGGACATTTCTGTTATGACAGTTTTTCTTCATTTCACCATGTTCTTCAAAATTAGTATTGTTTGATCCAAAACCAAAGAGAAGTGCTCAGGTTTAGTTAGTGTCATCCATTGCAAAAATGTTCACTCGGACAGATCACCCAGTGTTTAATAACATGCAGAGGATATATTTGTATATACAAACCATTTATTATGGCACAGAAAGGCATACAAAAATTATCAGATTAAAATGTTTATCAGTACTCTAGCTTGCACAAAAGGAATTTACGATCTTGGTCTCTCCTTGCCCTTGTACAAGGCCAACAGAGAAACCTTACGATCTTGGTCTCTCCTTCTTGCCCTTGTACAAGGCCAACAGAGAAACACTGGCTACTTTGACAACCTTGAACTCCATGAATGTCGCCAACAGCGTGACCCTTCCAACCAAAACCAGCAACCAGAATGTTGTCATTTTCCTAGAATTTAGCAGTAACCAGATCGTTAAAAACAACTGTACTATTTAATTGGAATAACAAATAAGAATAAAGTCAAGTAAGGCTAACAACCAAGACTCGCTTCGGTAAATTTACATGCGTATGTGCAGCGGAGTAGCTGCACCCCGAGCCTGTTGAAATAGCCTCAAGTTGGAAAATTCGAGCTCAATGGTTTCACAGTCCGTGTTTACTAACCAGCAGAATACAGTAGTTGTACACTCCCCAAAGTGTAGGGTGAGTAACACCGCTATTTCTGAGCGGTTGGACTGGGTCAGTTAACTTTATTGGTTTTGAATGCAGCTTATTTACCTCGATGAAGTTCAGGCAAGCACCGTTGGGAAGAAGGGCCGTTATTTTCCTGCCGTTCTGGATCAGCCAGACGCTAACATGTTGCCAGATGGAAGAGTTGGGCTGCTTCGCTTCCGCGGGTCCATCTGACGGAGGAGCAAACCGGTCACCGAGCAGCAGTTTCTTCGCGTGGGGCAGCTCCACAGTTAGTCGCTGCCGGCACCACGGTACGCAATGTGCCTGGCACGGATGCGGCCCCGTCCGCGATGCTCCCGGCTGCAGGTGCCCCGCTGGGCTCTGCAGAGGCATGCTTGCAAAGGTGGCCCCAAGATCCTGCTCTCAGGGATCTGGCTAGGTGTTTTTGTGGTGAAGTATCCCGAATTAGTAACTCTGCTGGAAACAGCTGCTTGGGAGGACTGTTGGCATCTGGGTGGAAATGGGTTGTTTTCTTCGGAGAATGCCAGCACTGTTACATAAGCAATTCTAGAATTAAATGCTTGGCTGAGCAGATAAATCCACCCGAAATCCCATAACTTATCTTAAAACTCCTGGTATAATCTGATCTCTAGCGTTGCCTGTGAAATCTGATTTCTGATGTCCCGCAGAGCTGTAAAACGAGGGGCTCTGGGGCCGACCCCCTGCGGCCGGTCCCTCGCTCCCCGGCGCCCACGCGCAGAGCTGTTAAAACGAGGGCTCTGGGGCCGACCCCCTGCGGCCGGTCCCTCGCTCCCCGGCGCCCACGCCCCGCGTTCCCCCGCAGGCGGCGGCTCCGCGCTCCGCT